CTCAGTATGACAGTGATTCGCTCATAACTTTTAGAAACTTATAATGGTTTTAGGTCAGGTTATTCGTTTTTAATTGGAACTTTGCTGTTTATGCTTTTTCGAGTGGTTCTTTTTGACTAAAACTATTGGTATTGAAGACTGTGCCTGTCTACGGTCAATTTGTTTATTGTTTTCATATGGTTTAATTAAAAGGAATTGACATCAAATTTATTTCTGCTAACTTAACGCAAATTAGTTATCTGTAACCTGTAATCGACTGTTTTTTTGCGTAGAATTAGTTACTTGTTTTTGACATTTAGATTTCAACTGCTCGTAAAGCACTTTGAGAAATAAAACAAGCGGTATAATTAGTAAAAAACGGATAAAGTGATTTGTTGTAGCTTAATTTTCTGCCAGATAGATCTGCGCAAGTAAAAGGAAATTTCTTCTTGTAGGCGTTGAGTTAAAAAAAAAAAACCGAGGTTCATTTGTAAAGAGTCTTTTTGCAACAATCGTGAATTTGAGGTGGAAGTGCACTTTGAAGTAATGCCTTATTCCGCAGTTTCTGGAAATACCCAGGAGTTAGGCGGCTCAGGTTGCCTTTAATTCTGAATACTAACTGTGATCTGAAGTGTGAACTTCAGAAATTTTTAGTGTCTTGCTATCTGATGTCCGAAATTATCTGTTTTTTGTGGAGCAACTTGAGAAGAATTGATTTTAAACTGATTCTCATTAGCAGATAAGAGCCTTTGAAACTGTTAAACTGCACATATTTTTTATTGAAAACCTCCCTCTGTTCACAGGTGAATGAACTAAGGTGAAGTTTTAGCAGTCTTTTATTATTTGCTGAAACAAGGGGCGATAGTGCACAACGCAAGAGTTAGAATTTTTTTTGTAAATCTGTTGAATTTTTTCTCGTTTGTATTATTTTCTTTAGCACCCGGTTTTTTTCTCTATCATCTGTTTTGTTGCTGTAATTTGTTGTTTACTACTGTGTGTGATTTACTGAAATTTTTTCGCGAAACTCAATATATTATATAAGTAACTTGTTATGCAGCTTAAGAATTTTTTAAAAATTTATTTGTCTTGGTATTGAAATTATTATTATCTACCTAGTCCATTTCAGTATCATTGTGGTGTCCAAGTTTTATTAACCGTCATAATGGACCCTTGGGAAATGCAAGAAGCTGTCGATGTGTTAGCGAAACTACCTCCAAATTTTTCTGAAGGTGTAGAATCGAAGAAGTGGGGAGACCGTCGTGATGCTCTTCAGGCCTTCCTGACTTTATGTGCAGAAAACCCTAAGTTGTGCCCTAAGGCGAATTATGGCGAACATGTTGGAATGCTGAAAAAGGTGTGAAGCAAAAGCTTTTTGATTTGTTACAACTTCTCTTCTTACAGAGATTACTGTTTGATGGATGACTATATTAATTAAAAATCGTTTTTCACTTTGTTTATTAGCTTTCTTGATGTCAAAAAGAGCAGTTTTTGGGTGAAGCTTTATACTATAATTATGGTGTTCTTCTTGTGGCAACTTTTCAATAACATAGGTTTTAATTGAGGAGAATTTTTTCAGTTCATTACTACATAATCACTTTTCAGATTTTGGAAAAAGATGCTAATATTAACGTTTGCTCTGTTGCCGCGCAATGTATTACGATGTTAGCACGAGGATTAAGAAAAAAATTCGCGCCGTATGCTTCAACTGTCGCTCCAGTTATATTTGAAAAGTTTAAGGAAAAAAGGCCTCTTTTAAAGGATCCCTTATGCGACTGCATTGATGCAGTTGCTGCTTCAGTAAGTAACTACATTGAAAAAAGTAGTATCTGCTTTGTGCATTTCTGATAATTTCCTGCATTCAAAATTTTATCAACCCATTATTTTTTGCACTTCTTTCAGGCAACTTTGGAGGCATTAGGTGAAGATGTTCAGAATGCTCTCAACAAACCAAACCCGAATATAAAATTACAGACTAATTTATTTCTTTATCGAGAGTTAACCAAGTGTAATGCTCAAAATGCTCCCAAAAAGTTATTGAAAACTTTACTTCCAATTTTAATAAAGGTACCGTGTTGTGACAGGTTACTGCAGTCACTTTTTTCAAAATCTTTGGCAGTACTTTTTTTAATGGACCTGTGGAAAAGGAGTATACTCTTGACTTTTTATATTATAACTTTTCATTTTTTTCAGCTCACTGGGGACTCAGATCCAGAAGTTCGTGAAGCCTCATATTCTGCTATAGGAGCAGCGATGAAAGCTATTGGAGAAAAAGCTTGTATGGTTTTGTTAACAGAAATTGCAGAGGACAAAACAAAGATGACAAAAGTATTGTCTATATGTGTAACTTATAAATATTGTTATATTTATGTCATTAATTGTGTCACATGAAATTCGTAATGCTAGTTCTTGAGTGCAGCGCTGGTAAATTTAGATATTGGCTGCGAAAGATCGTTCAATTAAAGAAGCGGCAGAAGCTGAGGCACTTCGCCGGCAGACGGAGGTTTTATGTAATGGCTCTAATGGTGGTGGAGTAACCACAGGAAACAGTGATCCTCAAGGTATCTCAAAATTGACTTGGATAATCTTCTTTGCATTGTTTTGTCGTTATTGTTGGTAGATTGTAACCTTCTGACTTCTTTGTATTGCAGCAGCCGATAGCACAGCAGCTTCTGTTGAAGTAGATATGTGGGATATGCTGGAACCTGTGGACGTTCTTTCAAAACTCCCACCTTCATTTGCTGAGGGAGTTGAATCTAAAAAGTGGCAAGACCGTCGGGATGCTTTACAAACGTTGCTTACCCTGTGTACTGAGAACCCAAAATTGTGTCCTAAAGCAAATTATGGCGAACACGTAGCGGTTTTGAAAAAGGTCTCGTCGCACGAATATGGAGTTTTAGAATACTTGTTGAATAATTTAGAAAGGGAATAATTGTTTAGATTATGACTTGTTTCTTCTAGTCACTTTGGTTTTCCAACCAGTATTGCATTCCAGATATTAGAGAAGGACGCGAATATTAACGTTTGTGCATTGGCTGCTAAATGTCTCACAGCATTCGCTTCAGGATTGCGTAAAAAGTTTGCTCCCTATGTTTCTTCTGTGGCGCCTGTAATTTTTGAGAAGTTCAAGGAGAAAAGACCATTGTTACGCGATCCGCTAAGCGAATGCATCGATGCAGTAGTTGCTTCAGTAAGTATGGCGTTGTAAAATGTTTAACATTTGCAATTTATACTTTAAAATTTTTTTCAGGCAATGGGGGTTTTCTTGTTAACTTCTCTGTGAAATTCTTCAAAGCAGCTTTCTTAATAATTCATTTTTTGAATGGTAAATCTGATTTGGCTTCATTTTATAAAGGGATTATTTTTTTAGACAACGTTAGAATCGATGGGCGAGGAGGTCCAAGCAGCTTTGGAAAAAGCAAATCCCAATATAAAGATACAAACGAATTTATTTCTTTATAGAGTGTTTATGAAGTTCAACGCCCAAAGTATGCCGAAGAAGCTGTTAAAAACTCTTGTCCCAATAATTTTGAAGGTGACATTTGTATTGATTATACTTTTTAGTGCTGTTTTTTATAATTGTCTCAATTTTTGCAGCACACGGGCGATTCTGATCCGGAAGTTAGAGAAGCGTCGTACTCAGCTTTGGGTGCCGCAATGAAAGCCATTGGTGAAAAAGCGTGTATGGTACTTTTGGGTCCAATTGTGGAAGATAAGACAAAAATGGGGAAAGTATGATTCTTTCTTGACCTTTCAGAATCCACTTTTGTCTTTATGGGGTTGGAATGGAATGGTTACTTGAAGTAGTATAAGTTTCGTTTTTCTACCAGTTTTTTAAGCCTTGTTGGTGATTGGGGACTGCGTAGGGAATTTCCGTATAAAAATTACAACTGGCTTACAGGCGTTGTGCTTCAAGCTGTGTTAGTCTTGTTAATGTCGCTGTAGTTTAGATTCGTGATTTTCGAGACAAGGCTGCAAAAGAAGCAGGGGCAGATATTGTGTCGGCGATGGTACAGAGTATTCACAAAAGCGATGTTTGTTCTTTTTTACTTAAATTGAAACGTTTTAATATTTCCAAATTGCATTATTGCAGATTAAAATTGTGCATGAACCAAACTGCCATTTCAAGTTGGCATGTGTCAGGTCGTAGGCAGTGATGCTACGTAAAAAATTGTTATCTTTATTTTACGTAAATTAAGAATATTAAATATTTTATAGTAGAGATCCTGGTTATTGATTCATAAATATGCATGTTTAAGAATATTTTTTTGCCAGAATGTTTTCGTGGTTTTCAATTTTTACGCACTGCTTGGCTTTTGTTTGTAGTACAGGTGCTTTAGTCTGTATATCCGTTTATCGTAAGCATGAGTCCTTAGCCACAAATCTCCGTAAGTGAAAATCACGTTTGAGTTTTTTGCTTTCCACTTTAATAGACCCAGATATTCTCTCAATTTTTTCCCAAATCTCTGTCGTTAAGTTCACTGTAAATATCGCTAAAATTTTTGTTATTCTCATATTGGTTTATATTGTTTCTTGGACGTGATTGTGACGTTTAGCACGATGACGGTGGTAATGAAGAACGGGTAGTGGAGCCAAAAAAGGAATCAGTAAGTGTTTCATATTGCTCCTACTTAACGTCGGTGGTACGAATCTGTTCTGCTTGAGTTTTTATTGGTTGTTTTGAATGTGCTTTTTGCACCACTGGTATTAGTTGCTTGGTTTTATTTTCATTTTCATTTGTTTTGTTTTTTCCTGTGAGAAGATATGAGGGGTTAATTTTCGCTTTAAGATGGGTTTATAACATATGTTATTTGCTAAGAAGTTTTAGCCCCTAAAGCCGCCAGCGTCTGGTTCTGGAAGTAAAAAAGTGGCGAAGGGGAAGTTACAGGAAGGAGATGATGGGACAAAAACTTCTTCCTCAAACGAGATTGCTGCTGTTGCTACTGAATCTGTTAGTCATCGTTTACCATTTGTCTTTTATCTGATTGGGATTATTTAAAAAACTTTGTTGCTTTGGTTTTTAAATTCTGCTATTTCTGCTTTAGACGTCGGAAGAAACCACTGCAGTTAAAGAAAGCCCTTTAATAACTAATCGCGAAAAAGCTTCTCGTCTAAAAGACGAAAAGAACTTCAAGGTGAGAAGACTTTCCGTTTGTTAAATTGAATCATGTGTCAAAGTGAAAAATTTTTGCTGTTACGAGATTTTCTAGGTACTGAAATGGAATTTTGATCAACCGACTAGCGAACATGTTGAACAGTTGCACTCACAGTTTACTGCGGTTGCTGTCCCCTCACTGTGCAGCATGCTATTTAGCAAGGATTTCAAACAGCATCTAAAAGCACTTGACGTCCTTGATTCAGTACGTATTATCTTTGGTTTAAGTATTACACTATTTTAACTTATCGGCCTTCATCGCCGTATTTTCATTAAATTATGAATAACGATCTGGTAGAACTGGAATAACTAGTGTGTTCAGTACTAAATAAATTTATCTGCATTTGCTTAACAGTTTTTTCTTAGCTGGTTATGGAAGATCCGGATGCTATTGTTGCTAACAGCGACTTGATTTTGAAGTGGATTTCGCTTAGATTTTTTGAAACCAATCAACAAGTGCTCCTCAAAGCGTTAGATATGGCTTCAAAAGTCTTTGCTGCTATTCAGGCTGAGTCAGAACCTTTTAGTGATGCTGAATTGACTTCTTTCGTGCCGTATCTCATTACAAAAGTCAGTGTTTTAGTTTTTCTGGATTACCTCATTTGTTCTTTTTCAGTTTGCTTTTAGTGTACGTTCACCCGGTTTTGTAGCTTGGAGAAACTAAAGACTCGATACGAGGTCCTGTGAAAAAAATTTTATTTATTTTAACGGAAATCGCTAGTCCCCCGAGGATTTTTCCATTCGTTGTGGACAGTCTAGGAATTAAAAACTCCCGATTACGTGCTGAGTGTTTACAAATTCTGTTAGCTATTATAGATTCAAATGGGCTTAGCGGCACATCAACGCCCGGTGTAGGTTTATTTATGAATGAAGATTTTTCTTTCTTGATTTGCTTGTCTCTGTTGAAATGGACAAGTAGCGTTTTTCTTTGCTTCAGATCATGTAAAAATCAAAATTTTTCAAGAATTTTCATATTTATTCAATTTGTGTTACAGCCATCTTTAAAAGCTATCGCAGCATGTATTAGTGATCGAGATAGCAATGTTCGAAATGCTGCACTTAATGCAGTAGTGGCGGCTTACAAGGAAGCGGGAGATGTTGTTTTTCAACTTATCGGAAAACTGAGCGACAAAGACCAAGCAATGCTGGAAGAAAGAATAAAAAGAAGTGGAGCCGTTCCAAAGAATAAAGGTTATTTCGAGGGCAACCTGCACCGTTTTCGGACGAGGTTTTGTTTTTTTACTCAGAATAGTTTTTTTTAAGGTTCACCACCCCGTAATGCACCAAATTCGGCTCGAAAAGGACGCCCGGTCATTGGTTCTGCCATAAAAGGTAATTTTTACCGCAGTGTTCTGAAAGAAGGTGGAAATATTTTATATTACTGTGCAAGAGTCGTTGCATTAAGTTTACTGAATGCCTTCATTGAAATACGTATTTACGCATGATCAGAAGGCACTCATGAATGCTATTTACTATCATTCAGTTGCCGTTTAAGGTGGTAAAGCCACTTCTCGTAATCGGTCCGCAAGTCGCAACTCTAACAGGGGCTATAATCCGAGTGCAGGCGAAGAAAGTTCGGATGATAAAAGCGTTGAAGAAGATACGAGGAATCGGACGTTCTCTATGGTTTTTCTTTCACTTTTTGCTTCTATCTACGGTCATCGTGCTTTTTGTATTATGCTGTGGTCTTTTTCTAGGAGGATAGGCAGAACGGCGATACAGCAACAAATAGTCGTCCTCGTTTCTCACTTAATTTGAAGGTACCTTTGATTCTATTTGATTACCATCTGTTTGTCGTAATAATTAACGTATTCATTTGCTATTGTTGTTGGATGTAGCTTAATCCATTAAATCTGTATAGGCTTTGGGGATTGAGCCAAATCCACCAAGTTGTCCTCAGTTCCGTGATGACGAGGAAATGTCTTCGTTACTGAATCAACTTGAACCACCCGTACGGCGCCGGACCCAAAATTCCGTTCCTGTTCGTCGGGCAGAATCTGTTTGTTCGACGGCATCGCTTGATTCTTGTACTGGCGGTGACATTGACAAAGTTCGTCGCATTTGTTTATATTTAGGTTGAGAATATCTTTCCTGTTTTTGTTAACTCATTTTTATAGCCTTTTTTATCCTTATGTCTTTTTGAGAAATAGAATGAATTTTTGTTCAAAAAGCCAACATCCCAAGTTGATGGTTGCGAGAGTGTAAGAATTTTTAGCAAGTTTTACTTTTTTAGATATTTGATAAAGCAATAAAGACAAGTTTGGTTGGAAGACAAGTAGTAATAATTTTCCAGGCTATTCATGGGATCGCCTCTATTTCTCCTTCAGCAGCAATGCAGACTCTCTCACAATTACAATATCTATTTCAAGAGCCAGGGCTGTTTCGCTTTTTGGCTGACAGAATTGATGCAGTTGTTCAAGCAGTTGTAACTCAGACTTCGTTAATAAGGAGTCGCCATTTAAATGATTTCAGTCTTTTGGAAGAAGTTAACGACTTGATTCGTCTGATAAACAACTTTTTATGCTCCGTAAGCAGTTGCATGCCAGTTTTATCTAATATTTACTTTACTTTTCTTCCATCGCTAGGAATTTTTTATTTTAGATGGTACGAGAACATTCTACATGTAGACGTATTACAACAGAAAACTTAAAAATGCTTATCCAGGAGTTCTTGTACTTATTGAAAGATGAACGACTGAAAAGGCTTAAAGGAGTTTCTGAGGTATGGGTTTGTTCAAGGAAAAAGGTTTTTTGTTTTTGCTTATTTATAGCTATCAGAACTTTTTAATAAGAGCTTATTGAAACTAACTGGGTTCTATTCAATTTTAGATAGTACGGTCTTTAAACTACTTAACCATTCGGATCTGTGATAACGCCGATCCAACGTTCTGCTACTTAGCATTAGTTTCTATGTTGACGGCCGCTCTTCGAGATCCGCAGAATGATACAGTTGTTTTGATTACCAAAGTGAGTTTCTGAGCTTTTACTCACGCACTGCATCTTATTCTGAGGCTCCCTTTATTTTTTTCCTGAGGCTGAGCTTTCCGTCTGTTTTAGTGCATAATTAAACAGTCTGATCAGTTTCTTCGTGATAATTTCGCTAGAGAATCACCAATGGACATGGATGCAGTTATGTTAGCAACGCACGATTTTATGAAAGAATTTAAACCAAGAATGGAAGAAGATAATGTTTTGAAAGAGGCGAATCATTGCATTGAACTAAGTATACAGCGTTTAACAATCGCTCATGGGGCTTCGGTAATACTGTATTTTGGGTTTCAGATCTGTCGTATAGCAATTAACACCAGAATTCCACTGAATCTATGTATAGTTTTATAGGTATAATTGAATTTTAGATTTTGAACCACTTCTCTCGCATTAGCGATCCAGAAAACAGTGAAGCGGTAAATTATGCGCGTAGATGTGTGCGATCTTGGCAGAAGAGCAGGGGGGGATTATCGACATCAACATTTGGTAATCTTCCGGGCCAGGTTTGTTGCCGCTAATTAATCACAGGCGGTAATGTACCAGCAACTTACTGCTCCAAATTCTTTAATGTCATTTCAGGTTACGGGGGCAAGTGGTGACAGTTTACGTCAGGTAGTAAGTGGAGTAATTCGAGATCCATTTGAAAAGGTGATTTCTTGCAATTGCTTCAGTGCTTATTCAAATTTTGTTCGTGACTTATTATAGTGAGTTGTTTAATTATACGTCTGGCAACCTAATACTTGTATTCTGCAAAAACCGTATACTTTTTAGGGCTTTAAAGACCTCTTGACGTGCATGAAAACTGTACCAAACGTTAAAGATACCTTAGATGAAATGCTCAAGGAGAGTACGCCACACTGGGTACGATAATCATCAGTCCAATTTTGTAATGCGTTGTAACAAATTTATTCTTGAACTTTCTATATCATCCTTCTAGTTTTTACTCAGGCCTCTAATGGTTTGCCCATAGCTTTTTTCTATGATTGGCTTAAAATGTTACCTACGCTTATTTTGGTACCACCCTTCCTGCAACCAGCTGTGAGCCATTCCTCGCATCTATTTAAAGTTGCAACCCTAAGCCTTCAATGTTTTCGTCGAGAAATCGGACTGCAATCCAACCTTAATTTCAGTTTCTCTTTGGTATTTGGAACTAATTATGAGAATTCTAGTTGCAAAGATGCATTTCAGGAGTTTGTTCGGTACCATACGAGGAAAACGACCGATAGTGACCGCGACCTTCCGCATCTTCTTCCAGAAACAAAAAAAGTAATTTTCTAGCCTGGTGGTTCTAGGTATTTCTAGCACCTTTATTGCATTTTAGAGCACACGGTATTAGTTTACCAAAGAGTTTCCGCACCAAAAAGTCACTTTTTTCGTTTTAGGCAACTGAATTTCTCCATTCTGTTGAATCATCATTCAAGGCCTATTTGCAAAGCGGAGTATGGAGCGATGCAGTCGGTGATTCTTCAGATGGTAAAGCGGAGTCATTTGAAAGCCCTCATTTAAGTAAACGAATAGGCCAAGTTGCTAAGTAATTTCCCCTTGTCTTATACGAATTATGCGCTAGCTGCGACAAGTTTAGGAATGTCAGGTTGAGTGGGAGTTGACAGAAGAAAGCGTTTCATTAGCACAAACAGTCGGACAGAGAAATGTATATTAGATGAATACTAGCAGTGCTGTATTTGATGAGGTGATAACTTTTATGATTTTTAGAGAGAACGGCAGCGGAGATGTAGCTGAAAGTGAAGAGTCTTTAAATGCTGCGCGTCCCTCAGTAACAACACAGAAACGAACTTTAACGGCGAGTGATGTGGAACCGCTAAGGCAACTCCTGAACAAACGCAGAGGGATACGTGAATGATGAGTGTTCTGCATTTTCTTGCTTCTTCTGCAATTTTAAATTGGCTGTAGTATTTATTATTCATTGTTTTTACGGGTCTCCGAAGAATGTTTCATTTCTTCGGATGAGTTCATCGATAAACAATAAGGATTCCTTTAACTGCTAATAACAGAGTATACCTTTGATTCTTAAAAATCCTTTGTGATGCATTTGAAATCATGTTGGAAACACGAGTCTTCAGCAATAATTATTAAGCTGGCTCTTAATCTTGTTTATTGTATTACTCCAGTAAATTTCTCGAGACAGATGAGCTAACATCGTGCAGAGGCTGCACTCACAAAAAATTCTTCAGGGGCTTGACATCTTACTCAGATTCAAAATGTTTTTGATAAAATGAAGCAAAAATGATTTAAACATCGTGCTTGAAGACTTGTGCTGAGAAGTAATCCTTGCTCACGCGTTTGACATAATTTTTTCACTTCCTCTGCGCAAGTGTTGTGAAGCAATCACTGGGGAGCGGACCAAGTTCTATGCTTCACAAGATTTTGGGTGAAGATAGGCAGTGATGTTTCATGGCTCGAGTGCTCTCAGTAAGCTGCTCTTAACTTTGTCC